GACATGCCACCCCCTCGCCCAGGGCTCCTACCTGCAGCCCATGCTGCTGTCTGAGGTGGACGGGGTGGACCCTCACGCAGACAATGGCACCAGGCACATTTGGAGCCCCAGAGCACTCTGCTGCCTCAGCACCAGTGGCCCTGTGCAGCCGACCTCCCGCAGTCGCCGGAGAGAAGGCACCTGGTGTCCGGTGGAGCAGAATGTCTCTCGCAAGGCACCTCACCCCACCTTTGCACAGCCCAATGTCTCCACGGCAGCCACCAGTGTTCAGGCCTCTGCTATACGCATGGCATTGCCATAGCAGTGGCAGCGGGAGCCAGTAATGGTCCCTTTGTTGCTGGGCTCAGTGCCCTGTGACTGCTCACTGGCACCCCTTCTCCCTTCTGCTGCTCACTGGGACCTGTAGTCTGCTGTGGTCTCGGGCTGGCAATGGGGCACAGGGGCTGGACTATGCTGCTCAAGGCACTCTGTAACTATCAGCTACAACGACCAAAAAAAGCCGACATCTAATAATGTAATTTCTCCTTTAACCTGTGCTGTTCCAATAGCCAACCGATATATTGGTGCACCCCTAGTAATTACGAAATGTTGGGTAGAAATCATTGTAATTTCTGTGCTTTTGAACTTTTGGTAGGATTAATGGTTTTTATTTTGTGGTCTTTTAACAGTAGTAGTGAAGCTTGGAAAATCCATTTCCCCTTAAGGAATTTGTATGGTGACAGGGTGGGCAAACCATAGACTCAGAGTGTGTGTGTAGTGGGGTGAGGGGGGGGGCATATCTTGTTTTTGTTTGGTTTGTTAATCTTTGCTATTGCTAAGGTAATATTCTAAGTGTTGTGGTTTCATCTTTGTGTTCACCAGATAGTAGAAGGGGTGAAATCTAACAGGGTTGGGGTAACTTAACATGTGTTCTTAGTGATTGTGAAGCTCTGAAATTACCTTGAGACTGCTGTAAGCAGTAGTAGAGACACCAGAGATCTTACTTAGGAGACACATAATCAAGAAAAGTAAACTAGAGACAGGCCAAGGTAATAAAGCTCCTGTTGTTGCAGAATCCAGGAACACAACTCCCCTTAGCAGCCAAGATGGAAGGAGACTTAAATGTTTGTGGCTGTACCTGATGATCTTCCGAGGTCTCTTCCACCCTTACAATCTATGAATCTGTTTGGCTTCTAGAAAAGAGATGGTGGGAAGGGTGTGCTTAAAATGTAAGGGTAAGGGTGTAAAATGTGTTTAGTAGATAAAGGATGATATGAATCTCGAGCAGATTCGAAGGACAGTACTTAAATAGTATGGTGGCTGACACCATGCAGAATACTAGATAATAGACAAAAGACAGAGCTTCTCAGTTTAAACTCCCTAAAAATATTAGCTCAGTATTCAGTGGTCAAAAACACAAATACAATGTTAAGAATCTTTAGGAAAGGAATTGAGGCTAAAACAGAAAATATTATGCCGCTGTGTAAGTCTGTGGTGTGCCTACTTATTGAGTATTGTGTGCAGTACTTGATGCAAGTAGCTGATCATTTTTCTTTTAGTATTTAACCAAAGACAGTGAAGACTGTTAACTGTAAGGTGGCTAAGGCATTGGCTGAAAGGGAGATGTCGTTGGGCTATGTGGAAGGGGAGTTACCAGATTGGAGAGACATTTCTAGTGGTGCTCCTTAGGGATTGGTTCTGGGATCTGCCCCTCTAAGACTTTCATTAGTGACTTAGAGGAACTAGATGATCATTTTCAAAATCTACACAGGACACCAAGCAAGGAAGAGGATCAGATTACTGTGCAGGAGGAATTGGATAACCTTGTGGAGTGGAGCAATATAATGTTATGAAGTGCAAAGTTAAGTATTTAGGGCTAATGCTTAAAGCTTTAGCTTTAAGGTGGGGTGTCATACTGGAGGCAGTGGAGAGAAAAGAACCTCAGTGTATTGGTTGATTGTAGGGTGGCCATGAGTTCCCCTCATGTGGCTGTGAAAAAGGTTAATTTAATTCTAGGGTGTCATTAGGCAGGGTGATTTTTTTTTTTTTTAATTGTTTGTTCAGTAGTCTCACAAAAACATCAATACCAGTGCAGAAGGAACTGGTTACAGGGGTATAGGTTGTAGCTGTGTTGCTCTAAGGGCATAGGTGGACAAGGTTCTCTGGGTAAATCTGATATCTTTTATTAGACCAACTCAAATAACTTGCAAAGAAGAGTTTTTCCAGCTTTCGGATACCAAAAAGAAAAGCTTTACTCAGAGAACTTTGTCTGCCGAAGGAACTAGTGAAACTCAGTGTATAGTTTTGGTTATCTATATTTAAAAAAAAAAAAAAAAGATGGATTTAAGTATAACAGATACTAAAAGAGTTATTAGGCTCACTCTCACAAGGGTAGATTTAAAAGAGCAGTATTTGTTTAACTTACCACAGAGTTGTCCAACTGGCAGCCATTGGCCACGGGGACTAGGGACCTGGATTGCTTAAAGATGGGTTTGGCAAGTTCCAGGTGGCATAGCCTGATATGAGGAAGGCGGGGATCCCAAAGCAATAATCAGTGCCTATAATGCCTGAAATCAAGAGTTAGTATTCTCCCCTGATGGGGGTTGAAAGAAAACCATTTATGCAGAAGAGGTATGATAATCACATGTTTCAGGTGTTATGCTGCTTATCTGTTAGGACAAGGAAGAAATCCTTCTCTCTTTCCTCCTCACCTCAAATATTTTTATTTTGCTTTTGGGGTCTTTGTTCTTGCCTTCCTCTGACACTTGGGACATTGGCCATAGGTAGCAATGGGAAATTGGCTGTGGTATGCTGATGTTCCTGTTGGTACTTAGAAACATCTTTGGTGCCTGGATGGAGGTTTTTCCTTGTGCACAGAGTCGAACTGGTTGCCAGTACTGAACCTGCAAGGCATCAGCAACAGGAGGAATTTTTCTCTCGGAACTATCTGACAACACAAAAGACAAAAACTATACCGTCTTTTTGTCTTCCACTGCAACATGGCAAAGCATTGTTGTCTCTAGTTAATATATACTAAGACGATTGTATCAAACACTCTCCCTTTTTGCTGGCAGGGCATGGTGGTGCTCTTCTCTCTTGGTGTTAATTTGGGACACATTGTTTTTTCCTGGGGTTCCCTGTGGTGTAGTGTGGAACATGGGTTGGAATGGATGATCTTGTGGATTCTTGGACAAAGGGTTGCCTGTGAATGCAGGGGACTGTGCTTAATGTCTCTTCCAGTCCTTTGTTGTAATTGTTAGTGGTGTGGGAAATATAAAAGAAGCTTGTCTAGAATGCTGGTAACTTAATCTTGGTCAATACAGTTGATTTGCTGTATTGCCTAATCAAAAGGAGTGCTTAATTAAATTACTCATTTTCATAACTGTGATTAAATAGACTGGAATATCATTTGGATACATGAGTCTTTGGGAAAGTGTACGTGGGTTTAATTTCAACACACTTTACACTGAAACTGTCACCCAACATAGATTAGAGAAGTCTTTTTAGGTAGGATCTGTGATACATTCTAGTCCTGGATTTGGCTAGGGGTGCACCTTTGTGGTATGCCCCCAGGGTGTCCCAACACTTGAAGAGGTGCCTTCTAGTTTTAGACCCCTCTCTGCCATTGTCTGCTTGACCACTGAGAGTAGGCTGAGATGCTCCAAAGGCCATCTCCCTGACTGAAGGCACTTCAGCTTTACCCACCTTGCCCAGGTCTTTCCATCTCTTAACAGAAGGGATTTTTGCTCGTTAGAAGAACTGCATAGTTGTCTGGTCATATACTCAAAATTATTAGATTCCTTGGCCCCCTCCACCCCCCACCCCCCAAATAGAAGAGGCCTGGCTATGTGGTCAAATACTCGGTCACCTTTACCAATGACTGTAGTCATTTATAAAAGAGAACAAAAAGATTTACTATAAAACAAAGATCCAAAGGCAAGCAATAAGTAACCATATGTGAGATGGAGACAGAGATACAAGAATAGATAAACAGAAGGAAATACCACAACAATCTATTAACTTGCATCTTAAATGTACAAATGCAGCTTCTGCTTGGCATCACAGGTCAAGTAGCAGCTGCTGCCTCTGACCTTTCTGTCCTTGCAGTTTCCCCTGTTAGCCTGTTACCCACAGGCTGAGGGCCAAACCATTTTATGTCCTGGAAACTTTAGACAAGCACTTGCTTTCATGGTAGGGCTTAAGTATGGTATCTTATCTGGCTATTTACATACATTATGCATTGCATTCTTGGGGAGCTCATACTGTACATGCCACTTCTTGACATCGAAGAGTATGCTTGTTTACCAGACCAGAAGTCCTTCTTGATATATAATTTTGACCAGGAGGAGACTTGTATCCTTTCAAACATCAAGGATACTGTCTCTCACTCAGTTTCCCTGCTGTGAGAAATGTCCATCCCTGAATGACTTGAATAGCCAGCCAGGTGTTGTTCTTGCTATAGGCACCCCTTTTAAAATGTAAATTCATCTTGGTGTGGAAGCACCTGGCTATAGCACTTCTAACCGTGTTGTTCACAAAGGTCAATATGACTGGGCATTCAGCATACCCATGTCATAGCTCAGCGATTACTTCTCTCAAGTGTGAATAGGGGAGGAACACTGAAGTTAATGATTGCTCTACTAAATAGTCTTGGCCAAAAAATGGAACATAAAAATTACATTCATATCAAATACTAGGACTCATACTAATGTAATAAAGGGTTCCTATAGATGTGCACAGAGCCTTCTCCAACATGCTGGAAATAGCAGTGGGGTGCTTTGAAGTAAAGCTTGTCAAACATGTTTTATTTCAAATTGCCCCGCTGCCATTTTTTCAGTGTGAGGATGCTGATGCACGTGATGTGAGGGGGATTTTAATTAGCACAGCTCATTAATTAAAATGCCAGGTGGTGTGTTCCGGAGCACAGGTAAAAATACCCAAAGATAGGGCTGCGTACAGTTTGACACTAGCTATACGTAGTGACTATACATGCCATATCAGTAAAATAAACTCAAGAAAACATGCGTGACATTCCAAAAACACTGTTAAGTTTGATGGATAGTGTACACAATAGTGTAACTACCAGGTGAGAAGAGCACCTGCTTCAGGCACCAAGTTAGGAGGGGGGCTAGAACTGCTGTCCCCTACCCGTCCGAGTCTGCAGCGTACCCATGCTGGGAACTCCAAAACAGTCCCTGGCTGCAGGAGCATTGTAAGCTTTCATGTGTGGCACTGATTCACTGAAGTTCCCCTTATTTTATATAATTCTTTGGAGAGGGTGATGTGTATTTTTTGACACATGATGCTTTTGTGTTGGGAGTGAATAACCAAATAAGTTTTTATAGGCATCTTTTTTGCATTATAAACCCTGTGACACTATAGAAAGTAGTTGCTTTGAAATCAATGAAAATATACACTGTAGGGTCAGTGTAACATAGTTGTTAAGTCAGATATCTTTACCTCATCAATCCCTGTGATACTTTCAGTCATTTTTTTAAATGATTATACTGTAATATTATACTTTTAATATCAGTTTTATGTGTAATAGAAAGATTAGAAAAGAGTGGTTTCTCTCAATTTGATTGTTCTAATTTGATAAGCTTTTGCCAGCCTATTTCATTGTTAGTTTATCTGAGAACATGTAGTCAATCCCATTTCCTCTTCTGTTTTTGGATATCTTTTAAAACATTTGGGGAAATGTTCCTGAAGTATTGGAAAGTGATTTGATGCTAGTGTAGTGCCTAAAACTATTTTAAGATTTATTTTAAATCATTGGTTCTCAGCTTTTTGGGATTCAAAGCACCCCTCCATAACTTTTGTGAACTGAGTGTCACTCAATTTTAATAGTTTTTATAGTGTGTTGCTCTTACCTCCTTGCAGATGGACCAGGTGATGGGTGTAGGGGTTCAGCCATGCAGAGACAAGCCTGAGGATGTGCTTACCTGCTTATCCTCATGCCTCATGGCACTCTGCAAAGGATCTTGTGGCACCTCAGGGTTCCATGGCACGCTGGTTGTGATTACTGTTTAATTAATTATTGAGTTTAATCCAATATGGAAACTAATAGGTTAATTTCC